CAACCAGGACTCTGACTCCAGGAAGACAGGGCGGGCTCAGGCGGGCACGAGTACCCATGTGGACAGAAACAGAAGTGTCGGCCCGTTTCAGGTTCCAGATTGAAACCCACTCGCTTCACCCTCTGGTTCAAAGAGCGAAGGAGAAACTACGGTGGTGACTTTTACATTCAGGTGATTACACGCTCACATACCTATAAATGTTCTGTTTCCTCCTCAGTGTTACCCCCTGCAGCTTCACAGCCTCAATAAAAGCCTCTAACAGTCACATCTTCTGATGAATATTAAAGAAAACGCCTCTGCTTCACTCACAACAGTGAAATCATTCAACAATCAATCAAACATTTCCCTTCAGATTTCAGAGGTAAGACTAACAATCACACAGACTCACTTTAAATGACACATTCATTCATTTATTTCTGTCCTGTCTGTGCACAAACTGCCGGTACATAAACGTGTCCCGCTGCTGTCTCTGTCTCACATATTCCGGGTAAACTCCGTGTCAACCTGTGATATTTACCATCTGTCCCATCTTCAGCAGTCCCGGGATGGTCCGGGTGTAGCCCGTGTTCAGGACACCGTCACCGGACGTCCTGGTGGTTGTTGTTGTTGTGATGACGGTGTGCGACATGTTGACGGTAAACAAGGCGGAGGATTAAATCTTTAACCGAGTTAAACTGCAGCAGAGACCCAGCGACCGTTAACGTTACAGTGTCTGTCTGAACGTTACACCCTGTAAAGACAACCCGGATAAACACGGAGGCTTCCGCAGAGACTTTTCAGAATAAAAGCCAAAGGGGTTTAGTGCTCTACGGAGGCTCGAGTGTGACTCTTTTTAGAGACATGTTTTAAAAAAAAACTGCGAATAAAATAAATACATATACACATATAATGTGTTATGCTTTTAACTAGAGCAAGTTTAAATCACTTTAAATATATAATATCATGGAATTAATGTTCAAATTAATGTTTCACTGTACGGAAGCGTTTTGCATTTACTTGAAAAAAGAAATTGTGTCTGTTTTTTTTAGGAATTTTTGTTTTGTCTGTTTTTCTGACTAATTATTTTTCTGAGTTTAGAGAACATTTGAAACAATAGACGCATTCATT